TTCAGTACCGGCCCTTGTTAGTAAGTTAATGACAAACTGGAGAGAGTTCAGAGAAAAGTAACCAGAGTAGGTTTGGAGGGGCTGACTGACAAGAAAGATGAAGAGAGCGATCTATATACAAGTATTGACTAAAAGGTGTCTGGGCGTAGTAAAATGAACATGATAAAAATCACACATATTTGAAGTTTATAATTACGTATTATGGATGAAGATTAACTAATTAAGAGTTGCATGAAATGAGGTGACTTGAGGAATTTGAATGCAATTAAAGAGGGATAATAAAGCCTAATATCATAGAAAATGCTTTGACAATTTTGTTGGAAAATTTTAGAGCAGACAAAGTATATTTTAAAGAATACCAGGAGAAAGGAGGCAACAAAACATAGGTCTGTACCATCTGCAATTGAATTTTTTGTTCTCTTCTTTTGGTGTTTTGTGATTCATTCTGACAGTAGAACAGTTTGAACACAATTATTATGATTCCAAAAGCTTTGGTTCAGAAATTAAAATCTTCACAATCAAACACCACATCTAAGTTATTGCATCTCCTCAAGACACTTTCATGCCAAGGAATTGTCTCCCATTTTCTCAATTAAACATTCTTTAAATATGCTATTTGAAGTGTCTTTTCCTTCATTTGACTAGCAGACTATATTACCCATTCCAGCTGATCTCTGTGAAAAGAAAATTAGAAGAAATGTGTTTACAGGGCAGCCTATTTAAATTCAATTTCCCTTGCTCTGTGCTGAAAGAAGGCAAGTTACTGCATTTTCCCATCTTTAAGAGAGTCTTGAAGAACATTCAGCATTTGGAAAAGATTGTTCTGCCTTCGTATTTATTTTGGAACAGGAGCCAGAGTTCTTGTTCTTGTCTTGAAATCTGAATTAAAGACATATACTCTCCAAGATTAACACTTAAAATCTAAACAATTTTTCATCTTAGGATAGAAGATCTGTTGCTCGATTAAAAAGAATTCTTTGCTGCCACAAGATCAACAAAATTTGCAGTGTCTTGAAAAAGACTTTCACCTTTGTTAAAAATTACCTACAGCAGGTGATTCATAAGGAAGAAAATTAGAAGACATCATGCTCTTCTGTGACACTGCAGCTAGCAAGAAGAACAAGAAATATCAGCTTCCCAAAGCGCTATAGAAGCCTGATTAAAATTATTCATGACATAATAAGTTGTAGCTACTGATCTGATGGTAATTGTAATTACCCATGATTTTTCCAGACAGGATGAATGCTATAGTCTGAAGGCCTCCTCATTTTCCTTTCTCTTACATCACCTTTGGGCCATAAAACTTTGGTGAAAGAGAAGATTCCAGACAAGCTTTACTCATAGGTCATAGTCTTTTTTTATGGGATGGGATAACCCATTTTAAGACAAGCTTGTGCCAAGTTTCTGCATAAGAAAGTATTCATGGCTATAACTTGAATCTGGATTTGTACATATGTTGTAATCCCACAATGGACATTTTTGTCTTGTACAAAACAAGTTCTATTGTTTTCCTCACTTCTCAGGTTCCCATGGTAAAAGGCTTTTAGATATACATTAACATGGTTGCTTTAAGCAAAGAGGAAATAAATAAGATTCCCATGCAGATGCATTCATTAGTACCTACTGCACCACCTATTCGCCTTCATACTGGTTTTATCAAGTGTTAACAAACAATCCATTGCCTCATGGATTAATGCAACATTGAAGAGATTAAAAAAATCCAACTAGATTGCAATCTCAAAAGGCAGAAGAAGCAATTTTGCCACCTACTCAAAGAGCTACAATTATTGACAGTCTTCATGGTGGAAAACGAAGAAGTCTTAAATGAACAATATTTAGAAACTTGTAAAATGTCTGCTTTTCAGACAAGTTGGCAAGGAGAGCAGTGCTATTTTGTTTCTGACAAGTCATTATCTATATGTGGAGACAAGTTTAGCCCCCAAAGAAGCAAATCCATTGTTTTCCTGTTTAACCAGCAGGATATAAAAATAAAAATCTGACGAACACATACAAGAGAAACAAACAGAAATGACAGCACTGAGTGATAAAAGCCAGAGTTCTGCAAGATCTTGCTTGTGAAAGCGTACATTATATAAAGCATTGTTGATTAATTTGAGAGATGACAACCAACATTCAGGAAGACGGAAAGTTTTGCTTCTCTGGCTCCCAGATGTAATATTTTAACAGGGAGAAGTAATTTTCCACTTTGCTGAGAGAACAGTTTCGATACAATAAAATATAATTCTCAAACTTCTGAAAGTCCTAAAAGCAAGAGGTCATGAAACATTTTGAAGTGAGCACAGACACATGTAGTTAATTCATTTAGAGGTGCCTGAACAGAGGCATATAGTATTATCTCCCATTTTTAACTGCATTTTTACAGAGTTTTATTTTACATACAACCTAGTAAAAGAAACACAACTAAAAGCTAGCCTACAGTTTAGAATAGAAAATTCAAAGTAGTTCAAAGGGCTACATTTTGAAGTGGCTTCTTGGCATCTAAGGATGCAAACAGGTCCCATGACAGATCTTGTTCTGTGGTAACTTATACTGAGAGAATTAAGCCCTCTTGAAAATTCCTCAGAAATCCAGGTGCTCAGTAGCTATTTAAGCACCTGTTTTCACTACACTCTGTGTTTAAGCAGCTGATAGCCACCCCAATACCATGAAACTCAAGCTTTCCTTCTCAGTCTGAACATGAGGTTTAAACAAAAAAAAGAAATATCTTTCCCTGTATCAGAACAAATACCAGGTGTCAGGTAGTCCCTATGACTTTTCCCTCTTTTACTTAATCACTGTGATTTTCCAGCAGGCATTTATTAATTTTTAAACAAAAAGCACCACTACTTATTAAAGATCTCAAGCCAACTGTGTTTTGTAAAAAAAAAAAAAGCTGTAGGAAACTCACCTGCTGTAAATGTAGCATCCCATATGATTGATTTCTTTGTCTAATTTATACCGCCGAAAGTCCTCCCAAGCATCTTTAATGGATGTAATGGCCATTATAACACAAATTGGGATCACAGAAACTTCTGGTTGGAAAGCATTCACCACTGGCACAAAATTCAGTAACGCGATAACCACAAAATAAATATTGGCAAAGCGGTGAAACTGCTCATAGATATTTTTAGGGAGGAAAGTCAGGAAGGTATATTTTGTGGTCTTAATTTTGTTGGAGTCATAGTGTCTGTTTGGATTTTCCTTCCACTTCTTACTTCCAAAGGGCAAATTGGAAATGATCACTCGTTTATTTTCATTTTTCTTCTTTCTTTTCTTTACTTTTCCTCCCTTCTCCAGCTCTTCATTTTGGATTTCAGTGTCTGGAGAACCACATCGGCAGCAGGTTTCCTTGAAAAAATGTTTTTTCCATATCATTCTAGAAAAGCAGCCAGGAACACTCTTCCTTGACATCTTGCTTTCCTCTCAAAAAGTTGAATACCAACAAAATTAGAAGAGTTCAATAATCTGGTCAAGCTCTCAAGTCGCTGAGAAAAGAGTCAAGATGTCCGAAGCCCAGAGCCGCCTCTGTTGGATTCCAACCTCCACCTGCCTAGGGACAGGTATCATCCTGACTCAGCACACCAGGTCCTAGAGCCTGCCAGAGAGGCTGCACCTCACATATGACAAAAGCATCCTGAATGTTTTGTTATTCCTGTTAGTATACGCCTGGAGGCCCCGTTCAGAGCGTTTCCCTGGCATTGACTACCTGCTCACATGAACAGAAGTGGCTCTGTTCTAACTCAGAGCAGTGACAAAGCTAAGAACATACAATTTTCACGGTTTGCTCCATGAGTTTCGGAATCACTTTATAAGCCTGGGAGCTGCCAGGAAGTTCAAAGGTAATGGGCAGAGCTCTGTGTCCTAGAAGTCAACAGAAGATTGCAGAAATACAGACAGTATTTCTCTCTTTTACTTCCTCTATCTACTATTTGTTTTCATGCCCATAACATGGATTATCAAACAAACCACCCCCTATGGTTTAGTAGTTCCGAGAATTATACATAGACATAGGCAATTGAAGGGCAGTTTACCTTGATTGCTCCTCAGCCTGACCCTTCTCCTCTGATAGACCTCCTGCTTCTGGACACCCAAAGCATCCCTCTGCCACACAGTAATCCCTTCCAGCCTCACATTTCTCCTTCCCATTAGTCCTTGTGCCTCTGACACAGAAGTATGTAGCATAGATGAGGGCTAATTTCCAAGAGAGCTAGTGAGATGTGTACAAACCATAGTAATTTTTTCGCTATAGCCTGAGCTTAAGGAGAGATGAAAAAAGGAAGAGATCCAAACATTTAAACTTCTTTTAAACAAAAACTCCTATCTATCGCATTACGACAATCTAAGTAGTCTCAAGTCAAGTTAGTACTTGGACAAGAAACTCTGATGAAATCGAAATGTTGCAATAAGAATTGCACATGAAGAATATTTCTTCCCTCTGAGTCAGTACTGAGCAAACATCACAGCTGATCTGCGGGTGTTGTACCATCTCCAAAGTGAAACCATGCTGTATTGATCACATGTGTTTACTGGAAGTCCTATAAAAACTTTTTTCAGTTCCTGGTTATGCTTCACCCTGAATGTAGTTGATTACTAATTTTTTATCAATGGTTTTAGCATGAAATGTCTGAAAGGCATTGCTTCAATTTGTTGAACAGCCCCAGTAATCCTCTCCAGAACTGGATACGTTTCATTTTTCCTCCAGATCCTTCTCCTACTTGGAGAGGATGCTGTGTGTGTTGGCAAGCTGGTTTGGAAATGTGGAATGAAAACTTGAGTATCAGCACACACTGCTGCAATACGAAACAAAACTTCAGTGACATCAGGATGACTTAAGTGAGATAAATGAGGCATTTCTAAAGGCAGAACAAAACTCTTTTATAACAGCTTTTCCAAACTTACTGTACTCCAAAGGGTCAGTGAAGGAATTATTGCAAATCAGATGAACAGTGTCCATATTGCACATCAAATGCAAGGAAAAATAATGGGCTTAGTTTACTTACTTGTCATATACCCTGGTTTTAGAGAAGTTTATCATCTTATCAAATTGGTATTTCCTATAGTCTTCCATAGCATCCTTAATCATACTGGCAAGCAGCACGACAACCAGAGGCAGCATAGTAATCTCCCTGTGGAAGACTTCCACTTGTGGGAACCAGTTCAGAACCGCCAGAAAGAAAAAATAAAGATTACCCAGCCTAAAAAGGTATAAAATAAATTAAAAGTAGTCAGAAATTAGAATGTGTCCTTTTCTTAATCAACATACCCCATTTTGTGTCAAAGGAACATTAATCATTTCACTCCTCCACCCTCCTCTTCCTTTCCCAGAATGAATTAATCAGTTGCTTAACTGAGACGCTAATTTTTTCTTTAGAAGAGCCTGTGAGATACATTTTCATAATATTATAGCTACCTCCATTTTTCCACGTATTACAAACGCTTTTTATCTCTAGGAGCTAAAACTTTTTTAATGATCTCCCACTGCCTCAGTCTTGAAAATAAGCACAAAATCAAACTTAAGCCCAAAAAACCTTAAAAACCAATCCAATGTAACAGACTGTGTGTAAAAAAACCACATGTTCAAAATTATGGAAATAGCTCCATCAGGAATCCATGAAGGATTCCACAAGTGGAAGGTCAAATTATGAATGTGTAAATCTAATATACAGAATGAATATTTCAAAGCTAAAGATGGATATACAACCTTCATTTATCTTTATCATAATGCTATTTCCCTGGGTATCTTATTGACACGATTCATTATGCTGGTGGGGTGCATAATTTCAAGCCAGCACTTGGAAAAAAACCTGACCTAGCACTGGCATATACATGTATGCTGTTTGTAAGTTGGTAGATAAAGTCACTTGCAAGCCATTAAAAATGCACCAAAATTAATCTATAAGCCTCTGAAATCTACAGAATTTCACAGGTGTCTCAACACATGCAATGAATGTCTTTTCATGTTCTTAAAAATTAGAGGTTTATTCAACACAGAAACAGAAGGATTTTTAAATAAAAACTTGACATTTTTACATAGAAAACTGTTCCAGCATTCAAATAAGAAAGCTGGTCACAGCATCGGCTAAGCACACCTAGCGTTTACTTGCCTTAGACCTCCATTTCAGTGTGAATTGAGTGACATTTGGTTTGGAGTGACATTTGGTTACAAATCACCTAAATTTTAGTTATGTGGCAACTACAAAAGCAGCCCTTCTCCATCACCCTCAAATGTCACTGTTTCAGAGAGAGTTCTTAAAGCTCGTGTATCATTGAATGAATTTTTTTACCTGTGAAACTGCTTGAAAAGATTTTGGGGCAAAAAAGTGAACCATGTGTATTTTGTGGTCTGTATCCTGTTTCCAGAATAAAACATAGAAGCTTGTTTCCAGTCTTGCCACTGTCTCCCATTGTCGGGAAACACAATCCTCCATTTGTTTAAGGTGACTTTTGATTTGTCTCTGACAGAAAACAGCAGTGGCGTCGATTCGGATAGAGTCTGGGAGGGACTTTCAGCTCCTAGTCGCTGCCAGCGGTACAAAGCAGAGTCCACAGACAAAGCCATTCACAGCAGGGTTGTCGGGCTGAAAGACAAATGCATGACAAGGACTGAAAACCAATTCCGTGCTGATAGAAAATCCTCTTCATGTCTTGCCAGCAGCGGTTTAAAGCAGCAAACAATACTGTTCAGTGCATTACATGTTCAGTCTTCGAGCTCAGCACTTTCTGCAGAGAATGCACAGAATAAAAGATACAACAAAATCTTCAATATGGAAAAATCTATTTCTACCACTGGGGGAAAAAAAAAAAATCCCAAATCTATTTTCTGTGTGTTATAACAGCAGACTAACATAGATAAAGCCAATTTAACAGAGGTGAATAATGGCTTTTCCATCACAAATTCTGTATCATTTTCTTCAGTCATAAACTGCCACCAAATCTATTCAGGCATTTTTCTTCAAATGTCTGACTTTCTTACAATACTTTTTCTATTCACACTTACTTACAAAGGGACCGGTTCAGGTGCTGAATCTTAATAGCTCAGATCATAAAGAACTGCAGCATCAGCTTAATCTCATTTACACTCACGTAACAGTTTTCCAGTCTCCATAGAAATCTGATTTGAATAGAAAATGCCAGGCAGCACTAAAACAACGGATGTTTTAATGGTTGGAAAGATAAAGGAATTAAATCTCCCAATACTAATCCTATTATCATTGAACATGTGTCTTCTTTCTCACACATCCACAACTGCAATTGTGATCCAGCGTGCAGGACGCTCAGGCTCCAGCGGCACAGGTGTAGATGCTATTATGTTCAGTCTAAACACAGTAAAAGCTCAACCCAACAGCAGGAGTTTGAGGACTGGAGGCTGCCTTAGAATGATGAGGCACTAAATCAGAAAAAGCAAACAAAACAAAACAAAACAGGTATTGGCCTTGTACAACTTCAAGGTCCCACTAAACAAAACATGTGAACTGAACCCACCTCACTTAGACTGTGGGAAACACAGAGAAAAAAATATTTAAACTTGGACGATAGTCATTTAAGATTAATTCACTGAAGAATTGGTTTAAATTTTATTTAATAGCAGCTGTATTTGAGGCAGATCGAGAATATCTCTACATGTTTGTACAAGTCTAAACACAGTTCAAATACATTAAACCTTTGAAATTATTTATAACTTTATTACCAGTGAGTCCTTAGTTTCGCTCTGCTTTTCAGCTTACTCTTCCAAAAAGCCTACCTTTTTCTGTATGCAATATCTGACTTCCTTTGGAAAAAAACTTAATCATATTTAAAAATATGTACATGTTTGAGTCTTGGAAGGGGAAAAAGTATACTGTACTGAATTTCACTAACGCATTTGAAGTGTGTTGTTTCATCAGCAAATAACAAGTATTGTTCATGCATTATAACTCACTAGCTGCTCAAAAAACTTTAATTCAGCGTTCAGGTTGCTCAGCAGTGCCCGCGGATCCTCTACAATGTTGAGAATGGCTAATTGATGCCAAACTTGGAAATACTGGCTTAGCTGATACTAACTTAAGTCCCAATGCCTAATGAATCTAGACTTAATGTCATGTTGCCCTGATAGGGAATGTTGAAACTATGAATTGCTGGGAAGATGCAAGGGAAGGTAAATATCACAACAAGCAAGTGAAGGGAGTATTTAACAGAACTTGCTGTTACTTGTGCTGTGCTCCACAGACTGGAATTCCAGTATTTATCCCTTGATTTTAGATGCCTTCACTGTGTTTGCAACCTATGGAAAGAAGAGCCACTGCAAGGTAATGCAGCTCCCATTGCGATAATGGGTTCACGTGTACTTAGAAAATGATGTCCAGAGCTTGCTGAGTGTCAATAAAAGCAGCACGCCTGCAGGATCCCAGGCCACAGATGAACTGCAGGCAACATGTAGTAAGTCAGAGGTGGTCTGCATGGGAGAGGGACAGTGATTTGATGAAGGTATGCTGAACCTAAACCTGAACATCATACTCTCGTCACTCTGCTTTTGTGCTGTGTTCCTGGGTGGTCCTCGAGCACCCATGGGAGTGTTGTGCTGATAGGCAGTGAAGGAAGATTAAGGCTTCATTTAGAACTAGTGAGAACCTTGGGAGAAGACACCAACAAGCAGCTGTCTCTTCGCAAGATGTAGTGGCATTTAGTTTATTCTGGTTTACTGTGTGTGAAGAGCTACGAAAAAAAGACACCTAGACACGATAAGAAGTATGGAGTACTGGCTTGAAGAACTGAAGGAAAGCCTTCTACAGCTTCGCAGCTGTAACAGCCAACGTTTTTAGAAGACTTGGATCTCAGGAACCTTTTCTCCATAAGACACCAGGTTTAAACTACTAACACGAGAGAGGACTGGAAACACAGCACACATGACGACAGACTTCCTTGTGTCTAGATTTTAGCGCACTTGGTGATTGTTTACCGAGGAAAATCAATCATTTGAAGGTGTTGAATTAACACACACAACCTAAAGCTCTGAATGGCTTCATGCAGAACTAAATACACTTGTAGTTTAATCCATAGACAGGACCTCCTGTAATCCATGTTAACTACTCTGCAAATGCCCAAATGAACAAGTACTTTGAAATCAAAATTATATTCAACCTAAATTATCTTAGAACCAGCACATCCTTACAGTATAATATTTAATCTGTGGTGCCGAAAGATTTTACAATGAAAAGGCAGAAACTCAATTGTTGGTAGTTACCAAAAAAGGCACAGTGATCACTCAGTGAAAATGCTATAGTGAAATGATGCAGCTCACGTTTGCTAGTTAAAGGCTGGGCCCTTTTGCCACCTTGTTCTGAGCAGTAAGCTCTCCAGCTGATTTCAGCTACACCATAAATTAAGATCTGAATAGTGGATGGAAGAGTGGTGGTCTTTACTGGCTCAGAAACAAGCTGTATTACATCTGTCTTTAACCACATTTTTTATATATATATATAAAAGTTGCACATAACAGATACATGTATCTGTTACACATAATCTACCAGAGCACCAAATTCTTTCTGTATGTGAGATACATCAGGGTAGGCTGAAATTCCTTAGAAATTACAAATGAAATAAAGCAATAATTTCAGGCATATTACTAACAATAAAAGCATAAAGGACTAATTAAGGCAGCTTTACACATAAATAGTAGTACATCTTCTACAACTTCCCCTAGGAAATTTTTTCTACAGCTTCACAAATCACAATTAGGCAACTCTGCTTGACATTCAAGATAGGGTCTCTCCCTATCCCATCTTTAACTATTTATTTAGTGTATAAATCAACAAAAGAATGACTTAATTTTACTCAGTTTGGAAATCAACACTCTCCTCGTGGCTGTCTTTGAAAGGCAGTGGTCATAAACAGTGCCATATCCATGAAGAGAGAGGCAAATTGGTGTCGCCACGCAATTAAATGTGTCACAGGAGATGTAGAGACTTCATAACATAAACCATGCAAATCTAAGCAACTGTTATATGGGGGGTAAATTATGTAGCTGGATGCATAATCAAAGCAGCAAGCTAATAGCTAGAACAAGTCCTCTCCCTCCTTGCCCAGATGGCCCTCAACCACAGACATATAGTCATTATACGAAATTATAATGAATCATTACCTATCTTATTCTTCCTTTTAGAAAAGGCATTCTTTCCCATAGCAAACTTTTGTCACTCTTCTCTGACCTTCCAGTGGAGCAAAAAGCTAAAACAAGTCTAGGTATCTCAATTCCTGAACTTCTGCATTCGGGGAAAAAAACAAGACAAGCAACATATAAGTGATTAAACTATTATCTATTTATAGCAAAGGTAACTTAGCCATACAGAAACGTGTCAGCTAGACACCCAGTTACACTAAAATGTGAGATAAGAAATGTGTAAGCTGGTGTTAGCACAGGAGGTTAGATGCAGCAGTCACATTATTTCACAAGTCTGCATCAAAATTTCTGAAATGTGAAGCAATAACCAACGCGTGAAAACCTTTGCACCTCTCCTATAAAATTATGGAAGAATGTATGTCCAAAGTTTTCAAGATTTCTGATGTTTGATGAAAGAGTGAAGTGAACAATACACTGTAAATTAAAATGGTATCATTCACACTGTCATCAGGAAGCTCTTGAAAAATCAGAATTTCTTTGCCACAAAAGGAGGATTGACATCATACGTTTTCTGTAGAGTCTGGGGTGCAATTTGATAACTTGTATCATCAGGCAATTCAGAGGGACAATGTCATTAAACTTTTTTTTTTTTTTTTGTCATTTGCATATGGATTGAAATATCCAACTTCTATTAACTAAAAAGAGTGCATCATGCTATTCTTGGAAAAGATACAAATTTGCCTAACAGTTTTGTAATGGTACTCTGAAAAAGATACTGTTTGTGAAAAGCTATTGACTATCCTGTCTCAGAAAGGGGATTTTACATATGCAATAAACACGACAGGAATGTATTTATTGCAATAAACAGCTATTAATTATATCTCATAAAACCTAAGGCCACCATTCATGTTTTGAGACCCTCATTTATTTTCTTCTTGCCGCTTTTAATCAGTGAGTGAAGCTGTCACCATTGTTAAGATTGGTGCTACATTTCCACCCTAAACATCTATGAAGTCAAAGTGTGCTCATGATTTAGCGTACATCGTGGTAAGCTTTCACAGGTAGCCCTCGCCTGTATCCATAACATAAAGTATCCAGGGGATCTGAACACATTTGGAAACTAGAGAGAAACAGAATAATTTTGTATTCCTTTTGTTGGGAGAAGAGCTGAAAGGTATATTGGGTTGGCAGAGACAGAATGAATGATGCCGAGTCCTTTCCAAGTGCGGATTTCAACATGTTCAGATGGTTCAACGTATTGGAGATGAACTTCTGTACACTCACCTGTCTCAAGCCCTCTCAGGCAGGCTCATACTTCTTTTTTAATTATTTTGTATATACCGCACTATGGTGGGAATATGTAGGCATTCTGATACAAAAGGTAAACTTGTTAAGAGACATATCTTAAACAAGAAGCAAACCAGAGGGAAGATAGCACTATAAAACCCAGCATGCAATTGGTA